GGGAGATATTCAACCTCTCTGGGCAACCTGTTCCAATGCACTGTCACCTGAATAGGTGACCTCATGTTCAGGTGGAACTTCCTGTGCATCAGTTTCTGCCCATTGCCTCCTGTCTTTTTGCTTAGCACCACCTGGATCTTTCCTCTTGACACCCTCCCTTCAGATAATCCTATTTAGTGATGAGGTTCCTTCTCAGTCATCTCTTCTTGAAGCTGAACAGGCCCAACACACTCAGCCTTTCCTGGGAGAGGTGCTCCAGTCCCCTCACCATATTTATTGCTCTCCATGGGACCCACTCCAGGAGCTGTCTGTCTCTTAAGCCCTGGGGAGCCCAGAACTGGACACAGAACTCCAGGTAAGACCTCACCAGGGCTGAGCAGAGGGGCAGGATCACCTCCCTCAACTTGCTGGCAGCGCTCCTCCTAATGCACCCCAGGATATCATTGGCCTTCTTGGCCACCAGGGCACACAGCTGGCTCATGGACAGCTTGTTGTCCACCAGGACCCCCACGTCCTTCGCCGCTGACCTGCTTTTCAGCAGGTCAGTCCCCAGCCTGTCCTCATGCCTGGGGTTATTCTTCCCCAGGTTCTGGACCCTGCATTTGCCTTTGCTGAACTGACAGTTCTTCTCTGCCCATCTCTCCAAGCTGCCAAGGTCCTTCTGAAGGGCTGCACAGCCCTCCTGAGGTATCAGCCACTCCTCTCAGATTTGTGTCATCAGGAAAATTGCTGATGAGGGGCTCTGTTTCATCATTCAATTTATTGATGAACACCTTAAACAAAGACTGGACCCAGTATCAGCTCTTGGGGAACACCACTGGTTACAGGCCTCCAACTAGACTCTGTGCCACCAGACACGACCTACTTGTCCTTGTTGCCATAATCATTTGAGGATAATTGAGAGTAACCTTGCAATGACATCAGCCAGGTCTACAAGTTGTGAGTGCATCCCATCAGGGTTCACAGATTGTGTATGTCCAATCTGCTCAAGTATTGTCTAACCTGACCCTTGTCCACAATGCTAGGTCTTCCCTGCTACAGAGCTCCCCTGTTCTTGGGGACCTGGGGTTTCAGAAGGCCAGTCTTGCTAATAAAGATTGAGGTGAAGAAGGCATTCTTACCACCTTTTCCATGTCCTGTGTAAAGAGATCCCCCATCTCATTCAGCAATAGGCCCACATTTTCTCTTTCTTTTGTTACCTATGTGTTCATAAAAGCCCTTCTTGTCGTCTTGTCATTCCTAGACAGATTAAACTCCATCAGGGCTTTATCTTTCTTAACTTCACCCCAGATGCTCTGGTGATGTATGCATATTTGTCTCAGGTTACCTGTCCTTGCTTCATCTCTCTGTATGCTTTCTTTTTTTCTCTGAGATTGTCCAGGAGCTCCTTGATCATTCATGCAGAAATTTTGCATGACTTCCTCCTCATTGGAATAGACTGTTCCTGACCTTGCAGGTGGTGATGCTTCAATATTAACCAGCTTTCTTGGGCCCCTCTTCCCTCTAGGGCTTTATTCTACGGGACTCTAGCAACCAGACTCTTGGCAAAGCCAAAGTGCGCTCTCCTGACATCCAGGGTTGTGAGCTTCCTTTTTACTCTCCTGTCTCTCTTCAGGATCCCAAACTCCACCATCTCACTGTCACTGCTGCCTTTCACTTTCACATCCTCAGTGGGCCTCTCCATGTTGGCAAGTATGAAGTCCACTGAACACCTCTTCTCTTTGGCTTCTCTATCCCTTGGGTGAAGAAGTTGATGCACTCCAAGAGCCTCCAGGATTGCCTTTGCCCTTCTGTGCTGTCCCTCTTGTATGTATTAAGGTGGTTTAAGGTCCCCATGAGGACGTTTACAGCAGTCAGAAGCAAAAGCTGGTGAGAGGTGCATGGTGAGGTTCAAAGCCATTTTCACAATGCTGTAAAAATTCACTTCCTTATGTATTTTTAACTGAAATTTGACATAGATGCCTGAGGCACAAGCAGCTAGCTTATGGATTCCTGGGGTTTTAGAACGACCGTGAAACAGCAAAACACCTCAAGTACTGAGTTCACTCACAATGGCACATTATTTGATCCATGCAGTTTTCTTTATATCCTTTTTATTAGTAGTTTTATAAAGGCGATAATGTTTAAGGGAAACATTCTTAAGGGAACTATGAAAAACAGAACCTACAATTTCCATCCATAAACTGTGTTATCAATCCCAGTCTAATAAGCCAGGAAGCTTATTACTGTGGATAAGCAGTGCATCCATTTGTGAGATGCCCAGTACAACCCATTAGGTATGTGAGAGGTTAAGAGAGAAAGATGTTGTGTAACATATGGAATGAATATTTACTCTGCTTTGCTTCTTATATGGAAAGTGCATGGTCACAAAACGCACGCATCAAGTCACCTTGTGTATGGTATGGTTTTCTTCCCTGATACATTTGTGCCTAATGACACAGCTGTCAACTGCAACTCTCATACCAGAGGATTTGCACCTTTTTTGGCTCAGTGCCCAGTCCCAAAGAAACATATTCATCCAGTCATTCACTTGTTTTTAACATTAATGGGAAGTAAAGTTGCAAGTGTCTTCACAAAAGTATAAATGTTAAATGTCTATATTCACAAATTTGCTCTTCCATGGGAGACCCTGGTTCAGCAAAGAGTGAAGGACATAGGGGAAAAAACAGGTACATGAGAACAGTTCATAAACAAAGTGGCCATGCACTGAGTGCATCACCTTAACCAACTTCTGCAGTGATCTGAGTCTCTTCAATATCTCTTCTCAGCTTTCCCAGATCATCATTGCATTGGGAAAAAATTATTAGTTGAGCTGTATTTCAGTCATATTATTGTCTTCTTTGGGATTTCCTTGTCCATCAGACAATAATGTGCTCAAACATGACTGCTGAGAGCAGCATGGGGATCTTCAGTAATGCTGTAAAGAGAGAAGAAAATTTTACCTGAACAGAGTAGGAAAACATTTGGGCACTACCTTTGACGTGCATGGGCATGGAGGTGCTTGGAGCAAAATGCTCCCAATTCCTATCTTTTTTTGCCTCAGAATGAGAGTTGTTCCTTTCTCACAAGTTCTGAGACTGACTCCTCCACGTGCTCTGAAGGTGCTTCACAACCCTAAAATAATAACCCTAAAATAGAAAAGAAAAAAAAAATCTTCCCCGTCTTTCAAGCTGAATCTATATAACTCTTATTGCTGTGACTGTCAAGGCTGGATTGTCAACCACCTCTCTTACAAGCACTTGAAAATCCTACCATGTTTCCACTTCAATTAATTTCAAAGTTGGTTTCCACAGAAGAGCAAAGCATTAGCTGTAAATACTAAAGCAGCTGAAACTAGCAAATGGTTTCAGAGACAAATAAGGTCTGCCTGGAAACAAGTCTGAACTTCATCTTTCTCTGGCAAGTTGTTTCTTCCTGGACAAGGAAGGCTGCACTTGAAAGGAATAGCTTTAATATTTTTCAGTGACTTGGACATCACTGGAAAGATGAAGAAAGGAAAAGATGGCTGTAGAGTGTTAAAGCTACATTAAAGCTACACCAGAAGCTTGGCTAGCTTGTAGAATTAATTAACTGAATGCCAAGACTGTGATTTTATATCTCAGGCAAAGGGTATATTATTAACAGAAGGGGTCCCTCTTGAGAATCCAGATAAGGAATCTCATGTTCAGGAAAGTGTATGTAAACCACAATAACTGTAATTGTCCCTTGCTGAGCAGCCCCTGAGGTCCCACAAAGCTCTTGCAGCAGCAAGGTCTGTAAGCGCTGACTGCTACCTCTTCATAAAAGTACAATTGCTGACAATAGGAAATTGCATCATCTAGCCTTTCTCCTTCTTTATCAAAAAAGGGGAAGTTCCATGTCAATGGTAGCAGGATTAATTCTAGGAAGTTTAGCAATGTTTCTTTAAAAATAGGTCATTTAGCAGAATAATGAAAAGAAGTTGAATGCTGACTCTGTCTGCCAACCCGACCTAGTCTTCCAGATTCAGACACGAACAGCGTAAGGACCAGGCTCTATTCAGCCGTCCAGAACAACAACAACAAAAAAAAAAGGAGAAAGATTGTGAAGAGAACGAAGTATAGAGCTACCAGGAAGCCTTGGATGCCCTAGTGCTATAAATCTTTTCCTCTCTCCACTCTCCTCTCCTTCCAGTGAAGATCCCTCATTCTTGGGATGTTCAGGCTCTTCTGCTGATTTGGTTTTGGCACATGTGAAAAAGTGGTTATTGTTGGTGCATACTGAAAATGGCTCTTAAATTTCCCATAATTAGATAACTGCCAGAAAGCCACATTCATGGCTATTACATAAATATGTGCTGATCTTAGTGGCCACTGTTAGGCAAGAAATTACATATGCTATAGTATAAAATGTAAGATGTTTTTCATAATCATTTAACCCATGAGTTGAAGAGATTTAGGATCAATAACTGAGCTAGAGGATGTTTGGCAAAGCAGTGAGTAAAACGTGGGTCCATGCATACGGATCAAGGAAATATGATCCACTGATATCTACGACGATTAGAGATAAAAATTATTAGGTCCCCCAGTCAACTGTTCTTTTTTCCCCCTCAACCTTTTCCATATTGCCCTAGAATTCTCACATCTTGTCCTGTAGCTCTTTGAAATCCTGCTCCTATTTATCCCTAAAGAATGGCAGAAGAGTTAAAATCTTCCGACTTGAAAACCTGTACTTGACTTGACTCTCCGGGCACTGCAGAACCATTTCCTGTGACTGCAGCAGGGAGAGATAAAATTCCACTGTGGTGGGAATAAACCGAAATTACATCAAAGATTTCCAGATAATAAGAGTTCCAAGCCAAAATATCTTTTGCTGCTTGGATCTACTTTTTTTCTTTTCCTTTTTTTTTTTTTTTTTCCCCCAGCCAAACAGGGCAGTGCTTCATACAGGAAGCCACATTTGCCTATCAAAACCAACAATCCGAATTGAAAGCGTGACAAGAACTGATGCACATTTGCATACACTGCCATTCCCCACGCAAACCTGTACCATCCGGCAGGCAGAGGGCTCGGGAGGTGCCTCGCCGGCTGGCTGCGGGCAAGCTTCCTCCGCGGACACACGCAAGACCAACACAGGTGGACGGAACTGGTGGATTTGGGATGAGAGGTTCTAGCTCCTCTGCCGTGAAGCAGCTCAAGTTCGTAGTTTTGGCTTAGGAGCTGCAGAGAAGCGGCTGGCAGAGGCGGCAACGCAGAGCGAGCCCGGGTCTCTTGCGGGATTGCCGAACCCTCCCGGGGGGCTGCCCAGAGCCCCCTGCCCAGCCCCTGCTGCAGCACGGGAGCCGGCAGCTCCCGGGTTATAAAAGCCAGGCGAGGCCTGGGGTGGGGCTGGCGTCAGCGGGAAATGTCTCCCTGGAAGCAGGTACGTGCCCGCGCCCTCCGCGCCTGGGAGGGCTCGGGGCGGGGTGCGGGCTCTGAGCGCTGCCGGAGGGTGCCGCGGTGCCCTCCCCGCCGGCTGGGGGCTTCCTGCGGGAGCTGCCCCGCTCTGCCTGCGGCTCCGCAGCCCCGGCGCTCCCCGCCTCCCCGAGCCGACCGGGAGCCGCGTCTGCCCGGGCGGCGGCGGCGGCTGCGGCAGAGCCTGGCCGAGGGGCCGGGCTGCCCGAGCCTCTTGTCGTAGTGGGCACGAACTGCCTCCCTCCTGCCGCCGCGGCGGGAAGGGCCGCTCGAGTGGAGCCCTCCTCGCTCCCGCCCTCCTGCCGCCGCTGCCGCCGCCGCCGCACACCCCGAGGAAGGGCTTGTTTTCCTGCCCGGATGATGGATTTCTCCGCAAGGTCATCCCTGCCCGCGGCGGCGGTGTGCCCGCGGCTCCCCGGGCGCCGCCGCGGAGGTAAGGGGTAGGGGGATCGTGAGCACCTACAGAGACACACACACAGAGGCACCAGCGAGTGTATTCGGCGCCGGAGAGGAGCGGAGTGGGTGCGCAGGCAGGTGCCCGGGGTGAGGCGGGGGGGTGCCCCGCCCTGCCCGCCGCAGGGTGCCGGGCGGGCCGAGCTGTGCCCGGGCAGCGCATCCCGAGGGGCCGGGTCGTGCCCCGCTCCCCAGCGGGTGGGGGGCGGTCGGACCGGGCCAGCCCCGAGGGCGCCTCTTTTCTGCCTCTGCTCGTTTCTACCGGCGCTCGGAAGCGGCTTTGGCTCCCGCGTGGTCTCTGGGAGCGCGGAAAACTTAAGGGGAAAAAAAAATAAAAAAGAAAAGAAGGAAAAATGATCAGGTGCCCCCCCCACCACCACCGCCGGGACGGGACGGGGGGATGCGCGGCGCCGTCGCCACGGCAACGTGCCCGCGGTGTCGCAGCGCGGAAGGTGCCCCGGAGGCAACCCCAGCCCCCCGCCTTCTGCTGCCCGGGCGAGGGGGTGTCCCTGGGGCCCTCCCCGGGGCGAAGTCGGGCGAACGCAGCGGTGCGAGGGTCTGCTTGGCCCAGGGTTGCCCAAGGGGCTGTGGGGGCGCCGGGCCGGGAGGGGCAGGATGGTCCGAGCTGGGATGTCGCCGTCAAGTAGCATCACAGCAGGAGCGCTGGCCGGGTGATGCCCCCAGTGTGAGAGCCTCGCCTCCCGCCTGCATCGGGGCCTTGTGGCTGGAATCGGATCCTTCACGGGCCTTTTCTTTATCTTGCTGAAGTTGGTGACAAAACTACTGATGGTCTTGCCAGCTCCTGGTCTATGGCTTGTGTTTTCCTCGTTCAGCCTAGGTTTTGTGCCCCTTAAAGGCCATGGCTTCGTTAATGCTTTATTCCTTCATTCTTCCTTTTTCTCTCTGAGGAAGATAACGATGCTGGTGGTAGATTTATTAGACTCATAAGGAATTATTATGATCCCATATTCTGACCTCTTCCATAATATAAAGCACTATAAAGGCTATTCCCCAGTGATTCCAAGGTCTGGCCCACCAGCCTCTTTAAACAGTTTTGATTTAATGACTTCCAACAATGGGAATTTACTGCATTCCTGGATAATTGGCTCCAATTGTTAATCTCTTTGTTAAACGTTTGCATCTCTTTTCTACTTTGAACTTTTCTGACTTCATCTTCTAGCAACTGGATCTTGTCTTGTCTGTCAGATTAAATAGCTATCTAGTTTCAGATCATCTCTGTCTGCTCAAGTGTTTAAGGGCAGTAATTAAATAGCTACTTAACGTTGTCTCTGAGATAAATAGACCTGACTCATTTGGTCTCTCCCTGGAATGCAGATGCTCCCCAGGAGAAACGTGTGGGCTGGTCTTCTCTGAGCCCCCACCACTGTCCTTGCTGGCCACCGGGCGCTGCACTGTGGATTCCAGGAAGGCTCTTGTTAATGTCACGTGTGGAGATAATAACCTCGTGCTCAGTATTCCCTTGTCTATTCACCCAACGGTACAAACTTTTCTTTCCCACGACTACACAGTGGGAACTGCTGTTCCGTTAGTTACAGGCAGTGATCCTTGCATTTCCTTGTGAGCCAGGGTTTTCTCAGAAGCTGGTTGTCTGTCCTGTAAGGGGCATTTAAATTAAATCTTCCTACATGTATAACTTTGGATCTGCCTATATTAAGGAGATTTTTCCCTCCTCGTGTCACTTCAGTTCTAGGGTGTCTGCAGCTCGGGAATCACAACAGATCTCTGGTGTCCTCTAGAAGTCAGAAGAGTTTCTTTTCATGGGATCTCCATCCTAAAAAGTCTCTCTTCTTCTTCCTAGTGCTCTAGATGACCTTAAATTTATTTGAATTTTACTGGAGGAGAAGTTATACCTAGTAATACACAAACCAAAAACAAGTGCCCACTACAGTGACTTATTTTTGTAACTGCTTTTGTTCAGCTGTGCCTCCCAAGTGTTGGTGAGGGAGAAAGAGAATTGCTTTCCTGTCTTGGAGAGTTGTAAATACCACTACTGGGTATAATGTGTAGGCTAACACATACAGTTTCATTATGTTGCAAGTCTTGAGCTTGAATGCTGTTTCACTTTTCTGAAGTATGCTTAAGCCTGGATTTGTTATCTAGAAAGAACAGTGCCT